GGTGATGGTGGCCTCCGCGTCGGTCGACTATTCCGGCCGGCTGCTTCTCCCTCCCTCTCTCCGATCTAATCTAGATCGTCCAATCTCTATCCGACGGTCCAGATTCACCCATACCCCTTCGTTAGGCACTTTTTGCTAAAGAGTCCCTCCACTTTCCAGTAATTCCGTACGTCGTCCTCGGTTTTGATTTAATTCTGAATTTATTTATTTTAATTCAAAAAACAATTCAGTTTATTTACAAATCTGTCACTGACCTTGTTTTAGCCATAAAATCTCCGTTCTAACTATGTTTTGACCCGTTCAAGTTGCGTTAGATTTGTATTGACGTAATCTATGTGACAATAACGTTGTTTATCCTGCTTCATGTTTTCAAATAAAATGTTAATTTGACCAATCTATATTAGATTTCCAATTAAAAGCAATTTAGATTTTCTACTTCTATCTTTTCTAAATAAAATAAGATTAGTTTTATCTTGGTCTTCCAAATCAAATATAATTTGGCTTAATTCAATTTAGATCCATGCTTTTATATAGTTAAATATAAAGTAAATGAAGCCTATAGCTTTCTTTTCAAAGTAAACCTTTCTGTAGTCATTTCTTTTGCATCGTAGCTCCAATTAGCGTGCTTTTCGCGTCTATGTGCTCGTAGCAATGCGTAGATTAGTTTTCAAACCTTTTTATTGTTTGGTGTACTATTCTAATTTAGTTCTATTGTTTGCTTTGCGTATGATTGCATGAATGCTTGTGTGGTGTTCTATAATCATGTTCAGTCGGTGAGCAATACGTGGTGAACAAGAAGCAGTTCTTCGAAGGTTTGACTTGAAGAAGAATCTGAGTTTAAGACAAGTATAGCATGGGATCATCCTTGTTACCTACTCACCATTAATCATTTTAATCATACTGTATGTGTCTACCTTGGCTACCACTAAGGATATCCTAGCTTTTATATCTTGTACCTTATCACCTATGGGATTATGCATTGGGTAGTGATGGTAGGGCTCAAACAACAACCATGATCTTGTAACTTGACTAATGGAATATGCAATAAACACTAAAAGATGCTTTTTAGCAATAAGAAATAAGGGGGCTAGAGCATAGTCTTTGCGATGCTCTAGATTCCTCTCCCTAAGAACTTATCTGTAAGTGGTCAACCAAGACTTACAATACAACTTGATGCTACTCAATTGCTAAAAGATGACTCACTAAAAGCTAATGCAGTTAAACCAGTGTCTACCTTTTGAGCCTCATGAACCCCATGTTATTCTTGTTGAGTATGACATGTACTTAACGCTTGTTTACTTTCATTACTTGGATAAAAATCCCTTATGGGTACTAGATTACTAGATTATGGAGCAATTAGGCTTGTGATCAACCAATCAGTTGTCCCTGTGGTTTTGGAGCATTCGCTCGAAGAACGGAGTATCTTTCCGCTGTCTACTATCTAAGGTTGTATTCTTTATACTAATATGTTATATATTAAGAATTGTCCATTGATATTACCTCTATTTGTAGCTATATGTGTGATTTAATTTCCTGGGCTCACATATGGTGTGTATCTGGTTTTGTCCTTAAAATCGGATGTTACAAAGTGGATCAGAGCAATGCTGATTGTAGGACGCAAGCCCAGTTAGAAATTGGCCATCTTAAGGATTTGAAATTGCTATAACACACATGTTCTATAAACCTTGATATTTTTTCTCTACTATATATCTCTTCTCTGCTATTCATGTTTACCTTGGTGTTCATTTTAAAGTACTTGTTCTCATCTTCCCTCCTTGATTTGATATGCTTTTAGAATCTTTTCTTACCACTTTCTTACGTCATTGGAAGAGGAGCTTTAGGATCTTTGCCCTTAATATGAAGAAAACGATAGTATTGCAAGTGAGTCAATGATTGAGTTGTGCACCTTTATTGCTTGTTAAATTGTCACTATGATAATGCTTGATTTGAATCTTTGTAATGAGTGTAATGATCTTATGGTGTTTTCCCATAATTTCTTTTAGTTTATAGGTTTAAGGTATAAGGATTAATGAAATAAATAATTGGGCTTTGGTTTTCTCCTGTTCTCTCTAACCTGTTTTTTCGGAGCACCATCTCTTCATCAATTTATATTTCTATTTTTGTACAACTAAAAATAATGGAAAAATTCTAGACAATATTAGACTTCAATATCTTTCTATGGCCACAAGAATCACCCTGATAGCAGTTATGGTTTGGGAGTTATGAAAATCACAAGACGATGCAACTGTGTTGTCTAAAACCTGGAACAGTTTCTATTGCGCACTATTTTTGACCAAGTTAGCTATAGAATCTGGAAACGTGTTCTACACGAAAGTTGTAGGGAATTTTATAAGCTTTCCAATGGTATAAACTATAGCTTCATTCGATTAACGAAATGAGAGTTACAGATGTTTTACTGCACTGCTATTTTTCATCCCGCGAGAAAATTTCAGATATCCTTGCACATGAGTTTCATTGGGATGTCAGAACACCTTTATGCTAGCTAACTTATCTAGAAGAAGGTGCAAGCTACCCTTAGTATATCTCTTCTTAAGGGGGGTAGCCAAGTGAAGGATTTGCAAGATGAAGTTTCTTACATACTAGTGCTTCATTTGGAAGAATCGGATATCTCTTTGGATTAGATTTTCTCTTGTCTCTCATACTCTCAATCCTATCTTATCATCTCTTGAAGCTACAGTTAAGAATGCTATGAACGATTGAATCCTAATGCATACATGTTGAAAACAGATGGTTGCTACTATGAGAAGTGCTTCACAAGGTGCTGGAAGGAATGTTCTCACTTCTAATCCACCGCCATCAAATCCTCCATCTATAGAGCAAGCTTTGATGACGTATACTCAGCTATTACAGACTATTGCTCAAAGTGTGTTGAACAACCCGCAAGAAGCACCACCTATTGACAAGCGTGGTGAATTTATGATGGGACGCCCATCGACATTTTCTCATACAAGCGACCCACTAGAAGCTGATGACTGGCTTAGAGCTGTGAAGCGACAACTGGACATAGCTCAGTGTGATGACCATGAGAAGGTGTTTTTTGCGTCCGGCCAACTTCAGGGCGCAGCACAGGACTGGTGGGAGTCTTACCAGTATGGACGTCCCAACAATGCTGGATAGATCACCTAGAAGGAGTTTAGCGAGAGCTTCAGGTCCTACCATATTTCGTTAGGTGTGGTAGAACTTAAGTAAGATGAGTTCCTCAACTTGAAGCAAGGATCTATGTCAGTGTGTGAGTATCGTAACTGGCTCACTCAATTGTCACACTATGTTCCAAGAGAGGTGGATAGTGATGCTAAGAAGCAAAAATGTTTTTTGAAAGGACTGAATGATGGTTTGCAACTACAGCTGATGACCATTGTGTATACCGACTATCAGACGTTGGTGGATAGAGCAATTGTAATTGAGAACAAGCATCGAGAGATGGAAGAGAATAAGAGAAAGCGTGACCTTCAACGCCAGTTAAGAAACACTCATCTCCGTTTTGCTACGCAACTAGAATATCAGTCACACCATATGAATCTGCTCGGGAGTACAGATCAGAATTAGTATCAGCAACCCAATGATGAAGTGCAACATTTTAGCTCTCAAGAGCCATGTCTGTCACCTCCTACTATCACCTTGATGAAGATGAATAGTCCTACTAGTGAGGAAGGTTATGATTGTGGTGAGATTGAACATTATGAGAACGACTGTCTTGAGAAGTTTGCTGAGAGTAATCAAAGCCAGAATCAACAGCAGCAGGAGCCCGAACAGAATGTCCATAAGAAGCAGGTGCAAGGAAAATAAATTAAAGCGAAATTACATCCTTGGAAGTTTGAACAATGTGGATATGATTACCACTCATGGAGTTAACAAGGCCGTGTGGTTTAATTCCAACAAACTCAACTCCCGCCATGTTGTTGTTTGACCCTAGTACTTCACATTCATTCATCCCTAGGGAATATGTGGAAGATCATAAGATAACAATGCTTTCAATGAGGAAACCGGGAATAGTTAAGTCTCTAGGAGGAGAAATGAAGGCAAACCGCATGCCCAAAAGTTAGCGTTGACATAAAGGGGGTAAACTTTGAGGCAAACCTTATTGTTTTGGAGTTAATGTGCATTGATGTTATCCTTGGAATGGAATGGTTGTCTGCATGTAAAGGAGTGATTAAATATGCCAAACATTCGGTGCTTCTAACAACACAGTCAGGAGAAAAAATTGAGTATGAGGGTATTCAACCTAGACCTAAGAAATACGAGAATGACCTATTAGAATGTGTGTACAGAGAGGATAGTAAAGTGGAGTATGAGTTTTCAGATGTCAATATAGAGGAACAACAACTTTTGAAGGAGCTCAATAGGAGAGACGATCATGCTTATGCAGATTAGCCAGCAGGATGTTAGAAACTGCCCGATGACTCTTAATGAAAGTGACCGACTGAGTCAGGATGTGTAGGGATGAAAACGACCCGAAACAATCGGGGCATACACACCGTTATGCAACTAGCGCCGGGCTTTGCACTAGCCAGATGCGACGTCGCCTTTTTTGCATAGGGTTACCCGTATTATGCATGATGTGTACAAACGGCCGCATTCCACGGCCACATGGCATCATCAAGTGGGTGAGAATGAAATAGTTATAGGTGTCATGTCGATCGTCTTCCCACCCTGCCCACGCCCCACAAGTGGCGCGGCTGCGCAGCAGAAATGCCGCCGTCGATGACCCAGAAGCGGCGGCACATGAAGGGGACAGGGTCACAAGGAGACGGCTGAGCGCCGGCCTCGCTAGTTCTGCTGGTCCTGAATCCGTAACAGGCACATCTGAAGCAGAACTGCTTTCCAATTTCAAGAACTCAAGAAGTTTGATGCTCAAAAACTGTCCGTGAACCATGCATGTTATTATTCATTCACAAGTTCACATGTATGTCCGTCTGTATGTACAGCACAGTTCATGGACTCTCGGACACCACGCTACAAGCCTCCCAACGTCCTCGGCTTTAGCCCTTGGAAGGCACTGCAGATGCTTTGCATACTGGACACCAGTTCTTCTGCCCAAGCCACTGGCCTATGCAGCACACATGGAACCGGTGCTCGCACGGCAGCCTCCCAACTTCTTCGCCCTCCAGGTACTCTTCCTGGAATAGACACAGATGTCTAAGTTTCATTCCATAACAGAATATTTCTGCACCAGTTTCTTTGGTTATGAACATGAGAGGACTGAATAAAGTTAAACCCCTAAAAATATCAGTGATGAGAGCAATAAGCTTTAATTCTTCAAAAAAAAAGAGCAATAAGCTCTCTGCCTTAATTAAAAGGCAAAGCTCCTGCCACTTACGTCAAAAAATAAATGAGAGCAATAAGCAGTACATTGCAAAATCAAGCATAAATAACATTTGAAGAAAGGGTGCTGAATTGGCTCGACAACTTCAAGCCTTAGTCTGACGCCTACCACTGATATTGGAGAAATATAACCTCTGTAATAAGTAATACGTAACAGCTTATAGAACACCGGCTTGTATGGTTCGGTCGCCTTTGAACCTTGCAAACGCTTGTGGAAATCCTGGGTGCTGTCAGAATGTAAAGTATTTTTATGGCTGGCCATTCGGAACAAATGTTGGGTAGCCAATCGACTAGCAAGAAGAGGTCTAGTGCACTCCAGCAATGTGTGCCATGCGATTAGGAGGAATCTGCCCAACGTATTCTCTCCACTTGTGTGTTTGCTCATCAATTTCTGGTATAATTTTCTTAGCTTAGCTTGGGCTGGACAGAGTGGCTCCAAGACGCAATGAATTGAGCTTTGCAGATTGGTGGAGAAAGGCAAGTTTGAAGGATTGGTAAGGCCGAAAGAAAGGGGTTTCATAGTGTTGTCATTTTGGGTGCTTGGACCTGTGGATTCGAAGCAATAAGTGCGTGATCGGTGGCGCCTGCCCTTCTCTCACTGATGCTTAGTACTACTTCGAGGAGGAGATGAGACCCTGGTGCCTGGAAAGCTTCAGCCTTCAAGGTTGGGCTTGTTTGATTAGTCCAGGTTGGAGGTCGTTTTTTTTCTTCTGTTTCAGGCTTTTTTGACTCGAGATGTACAGCAACCCATCCTTGTCTGATAATCATAGTTGAGATGAGGAGGTTGTAAGGGACTGTTATTTCTTTTATCTATGATATAAATAAAAACGCAAAGCTCTCCTATGCGATCGAGAGAAAAAAATCTTGTTTTGCACTTGTATTTGCTTTCAAGAAAGGCAGACTCAGACGTTAAAAAAACACTGCCAGGAATCCAGTTCATAAGACTTTTCGGTAGTGGGGTAATAGCAGCATAAAAGGGCCTGTCTTCTGTGAGAAGGGTAGACAAAACCTGTACTACTCAATGCCGACTGTCCAAAACAAAAGGTCAAAACTCAAAACCTTTTACTTAGTGCCCAAAATAACCAGTTCCACATGAAGAGAAAGTGCTCAATGTTTTATCTTTATATGCATATGTTTATACCACACAGAAATAGTAGATCCCCTAGGTAAGGTTACCATATACCTGGCATATGCTGCATTTCATGTCATCAACGGTTGATTTGTTCACATCTGAAGCGACTTGACTATATATGCTTCTTCTGAGGCATTTTGTGAACTGCTCTTCTGAAAGAGCTGTGCTTACAGAGCCTATTCTCTCCTCCAGGGCCAATAATTCCTGTTCAGAAGGAGATACAAGCACCTCTTGTGTGAGTATAAATATGAACCATGAGTATTTCATAAAGAATCATAGTTAGTACTCAAATCATAGCAAGGGCTTCAAAGGCAGAATAAGGAAGAATCCAGAAAGAAAAGCATCCTGTAACAAAACCCCTCCAGCATTCAGGTAGAACAAGACATGATAAAAGATAGTACCTCATAAGACATATTATCAATATCCATCCGCATGTCTCTATGCCGATCATAGGAGGCAAAAGCACCAAGAAATAGATTCGTCTCCAGCACCAGCAATTGCTGCAAAAAAAAAAGTTTATTCAAGATTTCAGGCAAAAGAAAGATGATAACAAACTTGTGGAGCAAAGAATAAAAACGAACTAACATCATAAGTCAGCTCTGCTTCTTGTTCAATCCTCTCCAATGCTACCAAAACCTACAGAAAATAAACCTATTTCATTCCAAAATATTACACTTATACCACCTTCTTAGTCAAAGTTAAGGATATTTATCAAAATAAGATCAGTATCACTATATATTTAACTGGATTATAATGACATAAGATCTAACAACAAAAACAGAACAGCTGGAACCACTATAGGAAACATTTTAGAAACAACCTCTGTAATTCCTTCCATGGTTATGTGTCTGTGACTATCTCTCTCCCCCATGAGACTATGGAACATTTGTCGAGGACTTTCTTCAAAAAGGGAGCTTGGTCTTCCCCTTTCAGCTCGAGTATTCGAGCAATGACGACGACTAGATGAAAAAATGTTATTATCAAATTCCACAAAGAATGGCCTCATTGAACTCTCAGTGGAGACTTCTTCCAATGAAAGATGTTCCTGAGCTGGCTGTACATTCCTTGTGGATGATTCATGCAGAGAAAGCATGCCATCTTCTCTTTCATCAGGAACACTCATCCTAGTGGCATGAGGAGAAGGTCGTCTCATCCTAACTGAAACTGCCGATTCCTGATGGTTTCTGCTGCTTCTTCGTGGTATTTGTTGAGAAAGTGATTGTTCATTCATTCTGATTCTGTGACCAGTACTATGAATATCTGTAGGAGGTGAATGACCTAAACTTAAGTTCCTTGATCTGGAAGAGCTTTCCTGGTCAAATGCCCTCTTTCTCATGAACTCAAACCTCCTACTAATAACAGACTCAGATGGGCAACCTGATGGCTGAGCATCAGGTACTGAAGTACAACCAAGGTTTTTAAGCCCACGTATCTGCCCTCCACTAACATGACCATAAGCTGGCCTCAGACCCATGATAGAACTTCTGGGTATAGTAGACCCATTAGTCAGAGATGAAGAAGATGCTCCTGGAGTACCCATGTTTACTTCTTTGTGTTTCTGTGTCTGTGTCCTAGAACTTAGTGAGGCAGTTTGGACCAAGGACTTGACTGTATGTGCAGAAACACCTGAATGACCGGTAAAATGAGAGCCTTCTGGATAAGGTACTTGATCAGTAGTAAAACCTTCTGATTCACCCTGCAGAGTGTCTGAACTCTCGTTGTCTACAACAATTTTCTTACTACCCTCTAGCCGCTTGGCATCAGCCTTTCTTCTACTACTTTCAGCAATATCAAACCCTGGCACAAAAGGTTGTCTTCGCCTTTCCTCAAACTTGCTAAGTGGAAATTTGGAAGAGCTTGCAGGTGCCACCTTTGAGCTTGAAGATTTAAATGAATCATGTACATATCTTGGTCTTTCTTGATTATCGCCAATTTGTGTTTTCATAGGATTGAATCTAGTGCTGCTTACCGGTTTATCGATGCTGTGATTAGTCCTCTCTTCTGAACTTTGATTCCTGGAAGACAATCTGGAACCCCTCCTGTGATATGCAATTTCTGCTTTTGATCTCCTATCTGAATATTCCTCCATATAATCAGGTTGCAATAAGTACCTCAATAATTGTTCTGAGATATCCTATAGTTCTGCAGATCTGTAAGACAATTTTGTAAAGGTCAGTAAACAATAAAACCTGGAGGAGGGATACAAATAACGAATGAGCAACAAAAATTCAGAAATATACGCCTGGACATATTGAGAATGAATATTTTTTTACTTGGACAATAAAATGCTTCGGAACTAAGATTACTGTCCATCAGCAGAATCATAATAACAAATTTGAGACACTGTGAATATGAATGTATGAAAACCAGTTATGACCAAGGGTCTCTTTGTATTGGGGGTATATCATTGGTATGGATATTGTTGCACTATAAACTTCCAAATGGAACCTCATCCTAACACCCTCGGAAATGCACAGTGAAAAATGCTTTCAAGTTCAGCAGGCATCCTTCACAGTTCATCTTAACCACAATGAACTTCTAAACGTTGGATATAAAACATAAACATCTGAAAAATGATGTGCTCAAAAGATCAATATGAGCAACAAACAAACAGTCAAATTGGCCCTTAGCATTTGGCAACCAACTATATAAGAAAACAGTTTTGTCCTAGCATACTTGTCATAGAGATAACCATAATCGCTTTTGAGACCCAAGTCTGAGCTCTATTACCCAGCTCTAAAGCCGGTAGCCCGGTACCAAAAGCAGCCAGGTCCGAGGTGGAGGGGGTACCACTACCAACTCACCTTCCGCGTCAACATCAGACAGGACCCCACAACATCAGTAACCAAATGAGCGAGAATTTGAGACACGCATGTCAGCACGGAACCAGGAAAGATAGACAACAACATTTTCAAGGTAAGATAACCTTAATGCGCAAAAAACATTTTCCAGATAAGCCAAAAAAAAGGGGCATCGGGACCACCCTCCACAGATCATGACATGATCATTTTTTTTATAGGGATCATGACATGATCATTGACATTGAGAAGTGAGTGCAATGACATCATTCGTCTATCCACATACTCAGTACCACTTTTTCATCAAATAATACTAGTTTTTTTTTTTTTTTGCCCCCTCTGAAACCCAATACAAAGCACAAAGTGCCAATGTCAGTAGTAACTAGGTACCCGGCTTAACAGATTGCCCACTCTGAGTAACAGCGAGTGCCAAACATCTCACGGTAAATTTGCTAATGAAAACTGCATCGCCATCAAACCGTTCAGGCCCAGTATCCGAATCTCTTTCATGCAACTACCATGTTAATTGCTTCTAAAAAAAGAATCATCTGAACAAAACTAGCCCACCACCACCCCGACTCCCAAACAACAACAATAACCAAAAAAGAATCCAATGTTTCTGCATTTTAGAGCCTGAAGCCCACAGCGAGACGGACAGAAGAATCGACTTGCTGTGTGAGAATCAGATTAATCGCTAACTTTCCTCCGTTTCTGAGCCAGCCGAGACGAACGATATAATAATACTACAACAACTAAAACCGATCATTCAGTTCGACAAACCCCAAGCAAATACTGGCATTCGAATCGAACAACAGAATAAAACGGAACCAGGCAAACAAGAGACTGCACATCACCCATCACCTATCACCTCCTGATCCTACTAGAAGTCGCCGCCGTCGCTCGAGAACACCAGCATCGGGAAGGGAGAGGGGGGCCGCCCCGCCTGCGCCTCTGGTTCGGAAGGAACCGCGGCGTGCACCGGCCGGCCGGAGGAGGAGGAGGAGACTCCAAGGCAGCAGGAGGCGAGAGAAGGGAAGGAAGCAGCGAGCGGAGGGGGTGGGGTGGCTTTGGATTCCTCCCTGGTTGGATCCGAGGCCATTTATCACGGGTCGGGTGCGCTGCCTGCCAGTTGTCGCTTTGCGTTGGTATTTGGACTGCTGCTACGTCCACGCACGGAAGGGGTACACGGACACGTACACTACGGCGGCAGCGCGGTGCAGCACGGCGAGTGGGCCCGGGTGGACAGTGTGGCGGTGTGGGTGGTCGTCCTGGCTGGGCATGATAAATGAGCTGAGTATTGTGGCGTGTGCGTGCACGTGACAAACGCGTACACAATACGTTTTTTCAGACACCATACACGACGCGGAATGTACCGTCACGTGCCAGGCCGCGTTTGCTACGGAATGAGGTTCTCGTACAAGTTTTTTAGATCCAGATTTTTACAAAAAAATATTTTATTAGATGATAAATTATAGAATAGCTTTATAAGGACGTTTGGTCCGAAATAGGATTCTATTCTCTCCGTTCAGACGCAATTCGACTTGGTGCGCGACCTTCGAAACCACACTTTGATGATTAATTTTTTCTTGTAATTTGTAATAGTTTATGGCAACAAAGGTAGTACTCCCTCCGATTTCCTAAAGAATGTCGCTTTGGACAACGATACGATCAAAAAAACAACTTTGACCATTACTAGAATGTCGCTTTGTAATAGTATTAGAAAGGGTTCCTAAACACAAATTCAATGTTACTGTTTTTATACCAGAAACTTTGTGTATATAGAATAATTGTTGACTGAAGATAACAAATTTTGAAACACGTGCATGTCTTATATTTCGAAAACGGCTGGGGTAATTCACAAGAAAATATATATTTTATGAAAAATCATGTAACTAGAAAATAATTAAAAACATTTCTATTTTTTTCGAAGAACAACTTTAATATAATACACATCTCAACTTGTATTAAAAAAATTATAATTGAAAAAAAATACAATTGCTAGCACAGAAAGGAGAGGCAAAGAAACAGAGGCGATTCATATGCGAAACTAGCCTTTTGCCGATTCGATTCGATGACGCGGTGCAAAAATGAGAATTGTTCCCTAGTCGAAATGGTTCTGGCAAGGCCACAAAATTCAGAAAGTTTCCGTGTACCAAACGCTCCCTAGGTCCTGCTACAGGGGAAATTGCTAGACGTTGTTCGTGGGCGAGTATGCATGTACACAGACTTGTAACGTGATTATATTCTTCTATGCGCAGAGAATATTTTCCCTTCATCGTGCAAAGTACTGTACTATCTTAGTTCACAATCACAGGTTGTACCATGAGATTTTATTTTCTTGGAAACTAAAGGTCAAGTTTTCTTCACACTTGCACGCTACATATAGGTGCTTTCTTTTTCTTTAAAAATACTCATACACACAAATACTCATATATTGATCTATTACACGCATATATAAACACAAATTACTTCCACTAGCAATTTTTATTGAGATTGATACCGTTACAACAGGCCTCCGGTATTGTTTGTTGAACCTAATCAAACTACTACTATCAACGTTTTAGCTTCTTTTAGATGTTTTTAGATTTAAGTATGCATCTAGACATGTGTGTATATCTAAGTGTATAGCAAAAATTATGTATTTAAAAAAATCCATAACATATTGTAATTTGAAACGGATGGAGTAGTATTTGTTAGTTGGGGTCAAAATCGTGTATCCATACGTGTATATACTGATTATAACATGCTATATCCATCTTCGTCCTATGGTGAAAAGAAAGAACACTGCGGCACACGAGTAGAGGTGGATGGATGCCAAGATGGCCGTGCACGATTTTCAGGAAAAAGAATAGCTGCACACTCGCATGCATGCCCTGCTGTCGCGGTTAGGTCATGGATGCAGGATGCCCAGTGACCTCTCGATCAGATTACTTCCACTAGTATATTGTTACTGATTGCTAACCAATTCGTCCACTCAAGTAGCACTAACCCGGCATTAGCCCCGCGTGTCATCACACGCAGGCCTCGTTCGTGAAAAGAGAATTGGGGAGAAATATGTGCCCTATTTTTTTGGCTGATAAGTCATGGCTAAAAGTATTGTTGGCTGATTTATTATGAGAGAAAAATATTATTCGTTGGCTGAAAAAGTACTGCTTATAATCTAAATGAATAGAGCGTAGTTTGCTTTTTTTCTAGTATATTATTGTACGCCTATAGAGTAATGCATTAGGTGTCTCTGCCAAAAGGACAAGCGAAAGAAACCCACACAAATGGCCGCCGAATGTTTGGGATGACAGGCAGTCCTCCGGCTTGTTTTGGAGCACGGACGGACCGGGGAGACGGCATGTGCACGAGAAGTAGCTAGGGTCGCAGGAGTGGTTAGCATGGTGACATCGAACTGATGCCACGTGGAGTGGTAATGGGGGCGCGATTAGGATGGATAGGATTTTCTTTAGAGAAGCTGAATTGCAGCGTGGCCGTTGATCCAGTCATCCAGAGCCCAGCCTGTCCAGACCTGACAAATCAGACGGCAACGCGTCCTGTCCACCTGTGGGGTGAGTCCCCTTCCACAAGTGGGCAGAGCCGCAGAGGCAAGTCACAACTAGGGCTCGGTTTTTTTTTAGCTGGAACAGTATTTTTCTCTCACAACAATTCAGCCGAAACAGTGTTTTTTAGCCAGTTTCAGCCAAGTTTCAGACTAGCGAACCGGACCTAGGCAACTAGCTATGGGCGTGCACCTGCCCTCAAAATTAGGCAGCATTCATTAGGATTGAATTGGAAATTGAAATCACAGGTGCAGCCAAGGAATTAGTAAATCAGCATTAGAAAAAAAAACAAGCTTGAAGGCAGCTGGTTTTTTCCGGTCCTAGCGGCTAGTGCTCTGCCTCAGCTTGTCTTGTGCAGCTCTCATCCTATCCTAGGCAGATAAAGGTTCAGGACAGGTCCTAAAAGGGTAGTAATGATTGTGGGAGTGAACATGATGGTTGTAGGTCTGGAACCATGATTTTTTAGAGAGATAAATTAGGTGTGCTGAATGACAATGGGAGTCAACATGATGTTTGCAATGATGCAACCTCTGAAAAGAGGGATACAAACATACAGTATATCATATGCAGCTCAACTAGTCCCTCTCATTAGTGCTGAGTGCATCACCGGTAACACTTAGGCCTTGTTTATAAAGTTTTCGGGTATCACATTAGATGTCAAATGAGGGTATCGTATGGGGTGTTCGGATACTAATAAAAAATAAATTACAGAATCCGTCAGTAAACCGCGAGACGAATTTATTAAG